AAAAATATGTATAACAATATACTTTTTTTCTCACAGTAAACTGATAAGGTAGATATTAAAGGTAACAATAGCCCCATTTTACAGATGAAGAAAATGGAACTCAAAGGATAAGTGGTTTGCTGGTAGTCACACAGCTGATGTCTATTTCACCCAACGTCCCCCATTGAAGAATATGACTTTGTAAAAAAGTATTTATTTAGAAAACTTTCACTGATAAAATGTTTTGGAAGAAGTTGGGGAAAAAATAGGTGGAACAGGTTTATATATTACTACCTCATGAACTAGTTGGTTCTTGATTAAAAAAAGAGTTGTAGGCTCTGATATTAATGGTCTTCTGGAATCCATTCATAAAGGTCCTGATCTTCAACTTAAAAATCAAAATGAAAATTGATGGGCTTTTGCTATGTTACTATAATACTAAACAAATTTAGAAATTATAAGTATCTGATGACAAATAATGCCTTATGTCAGACATACACAATTCCCTTAGTCCTCCCCACTTTTCCTTCTTTGTATGTAAACTATTGTTTACCCACTACTGATGTTGACAGATTAAGTTAAAAATTTGAACCTCAGTAAAGAGATCACTGATCAAAAATACCATAGATAATTTAATACATTACAATATAACAGTGATTACGAGGATAAAAATAATACTTATTTAAAATTAAAATTTCATGCTTCCTAAGTGCTTTTTGTGGGGCAGCTAGGTGGTACAGAGGATAGAATGTCGGGCCTGGACTTAGGAAGACTCATCCTCATGAGTTCAAATGTGGCCTCAGACACTTACTAGCTATGTGACCCTGGATAAGTCACTTCACCTATTTGCCTAAGTTTCCTCTGCTATAAAAATGAGCTGGAGAAGGAAATGCAAAACCACTGTAGTATCTTTGCCAAGAAAACCCCAAATGGAGTCTCAAAAAGTCAGACATGACTGAAAAGGTGACAAAACAATGAAAAGTGCTTTTTGCCACAGGGGGCTTAAAAAAAAAGATTCAAGAGCAATAGAATTCAGCTTTCAAATGAAGTTGAATAGACCTTCCTTTCTTTGAAAGTTCACACACCATGCCATAATTTAGTTGGAAGGAGTTGGGGGAAGAAATTTTTAAAATATGGCCCTTAGTACACCTATCACAAATTGAACATTGAATATTATGATGTAAGTGAAATATGTTTACTGACTTCCTTAGATTGTAAAAGTGTAAGGAATTATCATTAACACATTTCCCTTTCATTGTAGACACATTCTACTTAATCCATATCACTTGTCTAGCATTACGTTTTTAAAAAAGGATTTTTTTTTAGAAACTTTAGCTTGTATTTTCTTCCCATTAATTGCATTTTTAAAGCGCCTAAATGACAGTTGAGAGTCTCCTCAGATGGTTTGTGGTTCTTGTTTCACAAGTTCCCATGTTGGCTTAATTTTGAAATGTGTGACATTTGTTTGATATCCTCACTAATTCTACAAATAGAATTCTATAAATATGTTTGTCTTTGGAATTTATGAATGCAGTAACAGAATCTATCATATGACTTCTTTTCAATTACAGAGAGAAGTTTTAGAGTGGGAAAGTAACCACTAAATCAGGAGTTGGAGAAAACTTAGGCCAGAGTGTCCTAGCCTTTCTTCAGTCCATTACACAAAGTCATTTGTCATTCCACACAACTTCCCCTCAACCACTGGGTTTATGTACACATCTACATACAGATCACTCCTTCCTCCTTTTATTTGGTTAGTAGCAAACCCACCCTAGTCAAAAATGTAAGGGAGTGAGGAAATCCAGAACACTCCACATCAAAGATGTCTCTTTGAGAACCAAAGTGTTTTGATGCTTTGGATAGGGATCTAAATTATTCAGTCCATTTTCCTGTCAGGTCAGAGATGCTATGCTTCATCAGCTTAGGACAGTTTCCTCAACCCTAAAAAATGTGAAAATGTTCAGTTTGCGTGATTATTTGTCTCATAAGACACAAAATACAAAAAAAATGCTAAATGTTACATGATTTACAGATGGTGTTTATACTGTGACTCCTAGCTGAGAAGTGCAAAATATTTTGCAAAAATCCTGGTGAATTTTTGTATCCCTCACACAGGATCTACTGTGCTAGTAGGCAAATGGCAAGGGTTCTGGAAGTGATTCCTTAGTAAGTGAATATAACTCTTCCATGCCTGGTGGAATCTGATAGTTATGGAAATAGGAAAATTCAAAGATGAACAATTCCTCAGAGCAAAACAAGTAATGTATATATGATATAAAATTGTTAATACTCCTTACATCACTGGGTTACATGTGCTTCTCTTTACATCCATCCTTTCTTTCAACCTTCTCTGTTCCTTTTGGTATGTTTATTGTATTGGTACCTATTAATCATAACCTTATGAACCCCCTATTAAAATGAACCTAAACCGTGTTAATTAATGTGAATGAGTGAACAAGCATTCATTCAGCCTCTGCTATGTGCCAGACACTGTTCTAGATCCTGGGAGTACAAATAAGATAATTATTGTACTCAAGGATCTCGTATTCTTATAGCACGTGGGGGGAGGAGGGAAGGAAAAGAGGCCCTCTGGGGAGGGGAGTTTTGGTCTGAGGAGTCACAAGGATTGTGAGAACCACTGGGCAGTGAACTGTCACACCCTTTCCAATAACAATGGTAGTAATGATTTATTTACAGTTCTCAGAGTAAGAGATTTGGGATAAAGGCAATAGCTATGGTAGCAAAGATGGCAAAACAACCATGCTGTATAGCTGAACAGGGCCTGTTTTCCTGCTGGATGAATAGTGAGGTGGCCTATGACTGGCTACATATAGTGAGTTAGTTTATTCACTTGCCTGCCAATTCTTCTATGTATAACCTTGGAAATGTCACATAAATTTTCTGAGCCTCAATGCCTCATCTGTAATTTCATGATTTAGAGTAAATGGTCCATGAGGTTTCTTCCTATTCTAAATCTGTCATCTTATGATCCAATGGGGGCAGCTAGGTGGTGCAGCGGTTGAAGTGCTGGCCCTGGAGTCAGGAGCATCTGAGTTGAAATCTAGCCTTAGACACTTACTAGCTGTGTGAACCTGGGCAAGTTGTTTAACTCTATTTGCCTCAGTTTCTTCATCTGTCAAAGAGCTGGAGAAAGAAATCCAGCACACTTGCCAAGAAAAGCCCAAATGGGGTCACAAACAGTAGGATAGTACTGAGCAACAATATATGATTCTCTGTTCTAATCAGCATAGCTAAGCCCCTGGGCAAAATCCGAAAGCTGAATGGATTCAATAATAGTCTGTGTGGAAGAGAGGGGTGTGTGTGTGTGTGTGTGTGTTTGTGTGTGTTTTAATTTACCAAGCTTGGGATGACTTTTAGTAGCATTAATAGATTTAGAATTAGGGGTAGCAAAGGAATAAGACCACAGTAGAGGCAAGAAAGAACACAGAAGGTAAGAAAGCAGGGCAGGGTGATAAGGAAGGTGAAGAGGGTGACAGCTAAGAAGACATAAACAGGTGACATTGTTTAGAAATAAATACTATTTTAATAAGGTTTTTCTTTGGAATTTTTTTGTGTAATTCTTTCAGATCATCATGTGGGCAATTTTCTCATAGCTGTCATTTTAAAATTTGATATGGACTAGGGATTTTTCATTTTTGTTTTAGAGCTTTACTTCACTAAAAACTGTGATAGAGGCATGCAAAAATATCACTTGCTGTACACTTGAGTGAATTGCATTTGGGAAGACTGAAGAACAATAGAATTTGCAATTGTTTGTTCCTTTGTTTTTCCACTCCTAAAATGTGGGCAGTAAAAGGAATTAGCTGCACCATCTGTAAAAGCAGAAGTTATCAACAATAAGGAAGGGGTAACTTGAATGTAAACTGGTATGACTACATTTTTGTTTCATAAGGCAATCTGTTTTTGTGTAGCTGTGATATTGTTCTGTTATCTAACTCCACTCTCTGCTCAGCCAAGGCTTTGACCAAACACAACGCTGTTGTTGTATTAAATCCTGAATAAAACACCTGTGGGGGTGAATTGGTTTTGCAGTCACAGTTATTTGGGACAAAAAAAAATGATAAATGTCCCCAAAAGTGAAGATAGTGACAGAAAGACAGAGAGAAAGAAAAAGAAAGAAAGAAAATCAGGTTTAAAAAAAAGAATCCTTTTGCTCAAATCATTACATATCAATGAAAAGATGATTTAAAGAAGCATATGGAACTGATGGGAAAAGGAAATTGTTGAAAGTGTTTGTTGAAAGTTTTCCTTAGTAAATTAAACTAACCATTTCATGGAAATGTGGGAAAAGTCATGTTTTATCTCTCCTTGAGTTTAGACTTTAGTAAATACCTTATTGCACACTTGCTTTGAGCCTGTCAAATCCTTAGCATAAATCATTCTTATTTATGAGTCAACAGCCTTCTCAATCAAGTCTCCATTTGTTAAAGAATTTGTTGTTGTTGTAATTATGTCTAACTCTTTGTGACCCCCATGGACTATCGCATGCCAGGCCCTTCTAACCTCCACTATCTCCTGAAGTCTGTCCAAGCTCATTCATTTTTTCTGTGACACTATCTATCCATCTCATCCCCTTCTTTTGCCTTTTTGCCTCCTTTCTTGTTAAAGCATAATACTACTTCAAATCCCTTTGTATTTCCTCAAAAGTTAAATTAGCTCAAGCCTATAGGGGATGAATTCAAGGTTCCTATTTGTTGCCATTGTGCAGACCAAATCATGAATTCTTTGAAATCAGTATTTTGAAAGACTTATATTCTTCTCATCATAAACTAGTACGATTGTTACACATATTGATTATTTTGGAACCCACACTAACAAGTGCAACAAACTGCTATATTCTAGCAAAAAAACCCACCAACATATCACTTTGCTTCAGATTCGGAGATCTGTTCATGTTTGCTTACTGACTTCATAAACTTGTCTTTTTCATTGCTCCTAACAAGCTCTGAAGAGTATCAAATAGAAATCCAATAACCCATTTTCAAATGTAATGTTTTTAGACGCACAAGAAGACAAGATATACGTAATGGAGACCCACTGACTCACTGCTCAGACCTACAACATCATGGTAAGTCACTATTCTGGAATGCATATTCTCACAGATACACAAGCACACACACATACACACAAGTACTTTCCTTTGTATATATCCAGCTGAGAATTGTACAAGGAGAGCAAAAGACCCTCAAGCCAAGCAAATCCAGAAAACCTCTAAGATTCAATTCAACAAGTATTTATTAAGTACTTACTTTGCTCAAGGCAGTATGCTGGGGTGGGGGGAGTCAAGGAGAGCAGGGGAGCTGGAGAGAGAGAGTAATTCTCTTCCCTAAGTAGCTTACTTCTCCTAGGGAATACAATAAATACACAATGACATAGAAATGAAAAACACACAAAAGCATGAATATAAGACTTTAAAAAAAACCTGCAGACATCCAAATAGAACATTTTAGATTACAACATGATTACACAGAGACTGAGTTCTAATATTTTCATTAACTGACTGAAGGTTTCATAACAGTAGACATTCTTATGAATTAATACTATGGAATAATTTATGACAAAAATGAGTATAAAGGGGTAGCAAGGAACAAACTATAACTTAAGAGGAAAAAAATCAACCCATTCAAATGATTAATTTGTAATTTAATAAAATGTCAGGCAGGCATTTTTTGTTGCTCCACCTAACAATTTGAACTGTGCTTTAAAATAGTTTTCCCACATGATGTTTAAGATAATTAAGTTGTTCACCTTTATACTGTTATTTGCAGTGAATTTCATTACAATGAAGTTTTAGGTCAAGTTAATTCTAATATGGGCTTCCTGAAAGTGTCAAGGCCTGTCTCAACAAGTAGCTAGTTTTTATTTATCCAAGAATGAAATGTTAGGGATTGTCTCCCTTTGTGAAAAGAACAATGGGATTATGCCTCCCTCTACTGGGGAAAATCTTCAATTTGATTTTGGTGACATCATTGCTGTTTAATCAAAATTCCTTTGACATACCCATAAACAGAGAAAAGGAGAAAAGAATTTTTTAAGAAAGTAAGTTTGAGTGATTTTGTCAATATTTTATAATTTATTTCTTTATTTTACTTTATGGTCACAACAGCCAGGTTTAACCAAACTTTATTGTGTGTTACCTCATCTGAAATTTTAAGTCAATCATGTAAGCATATAATTAATATTTTCCTAAGGTATAAAAATCCAATATAACAGAAAACACATTTCACCAAGAGCAAATGATCACAAAATTCAATCCAAAACTGATGGAAGTTTTCTAAAATCTGGCTTCAGAGTGTAACATTTTTAAAAATTGTATTTTCTTTGCTTTTTTTATATTGTAATTATTTATACATATAAAATACAATTCATTGTATTTTCTCCATAACACAGATATGCATAGGCTATCCAAAAGGCTGAATTTATAATGTAGATTTTGCAAATGTCTTGATAAATTAAAATGGCATCATTCACATGGGAGACAGTACCACCTGCTTCAGAGAGCAAGGAGAACTGGTCCATACATGAACATTCTGCATTGGCCTAGAAACAGTATTGAATATCAATACATGTGACAGTTCTTCAGTGTCCCTGAAACAGGTCCTCTAACATCTTCCATGTGGTTTATACTATCTTAGGTACTCTAGGCATGGGACAACCCCCCTCCCAACCCTCTCCTGTGCACTTTCCTTCAATGCAAAGAAACAAACATAATTTAATGATTTGTGGAGATCTGGTTCAGAAGAACTCAGTGTTGGATTTCAGCACTGAATCTTGCCTTCAGTTCCAACTGGTTTTCTCAAACAGGAAGGGTAATATGCAATTTCAAATATGTGTACACAAATGGATTTACTGTAGAGCAGTTTTAGTGATTTGAGTAACACTATTATAAGCACTTGGTAGAAAAGACACATTTACATAAATCTCAAAAATTAGAATATGTTAGCAAAATCATATCACAGTTTTTTTTTTTGTCAAGTGGATTAAGTGATTTCATTTAACTTACCAAAAAAGGCTACAGGTAGTTTCAGCTTATTTAGTCTTTTCAGATATATTTGTGTGTGTATGCATATATGTATATCATAGAAAAAAATATGGGGGAGCACAATTTTGATTTATTTTCCTGACAAAAATTCCTTCCGCCAAAGACAAACATAATTGGAAGCATTCTATTTGCTATTTTCTTATTATTTTCATCATTTTTATATTGGAAGTAACGATACAGATAAAGAACAAAACAAAGGTTTATACCAATAAAATGTTTATGAAAGCATAGGTAGACATTCTTGCTTTCAAATATGAGTGGAAGTTTTAGTGAGAAAGATATAATTGATTCTACAATATCATAGCAAAACTCAAAAGGGATCTTTACCAAACCATTGGTATGCACTTTGAAGTTTTGCAGACATATTATTCAGTCATGTCTGACTCTTCATGACCTCATTTGGGGGTTTTCTTCACATAGATACTGGGGTGATTTGCTATTTTTTCCTCCTACTTATTATACAGATGAGGAAACCAAGTCAAATAGGGTTAAGTGCCTTGCTCAGGGTTACATGGCTAGTAAGTATCTGAGGCCAAATCTGAACTCAGGAAGATGAGTCTTCCTGACTCCAGGCCTGGCAATCTATCCACTGTTCTTCCAAAGCTGCCTATCTGGTAAGTTAGATGAGCAAAAAACCTTAAAAACTGTAGAAGGAGAATATTAGTGAATAAGTACTTACATTATATGTTAAAGCACAACTTCAGACAATGTACAGTAGTGTCTAGTTTGAAAGCTAGAAGTAGTTCACCATTCCTTTCCACTTATATTCCATTTAGAGAGGTGGAATTAGCTGTCTTTAGTAATGGATTGGTTGTTAAAAAAAATTTGGTGAAAACTGGATGATGTCAGTAAAGCAATAAGTGAGCTGAGGTTTGACAAACAATTCTAGGTCATCTTAATCCACCAACATTTAGATTGTAAGTCTCTTGAAATTCTATTTTTTATTATAAAAATTATTTCCTTTTTATTTTGCATCATTAATAATACCTAAGTAGTATTTAATATTTTAACAAGTATTTTTTAGTTGAATTTGGAACCAATATAGATTTGAAAGCTTTTTTCCCCCCTCTCTTCCCTCCTACTTAAATAGACTTTTGTGCGAGTATTATAATGCTCATTTACTCCATATTACCAGCTTTGGGAAGAAACACATCTAACCCAACTGATCTGGGAAGGATCAAAGATATGAGGCTGGAATGGACTTTGGAAATCAGCTAATTTTTTCCTTTCATTTTATAGTTGAGGAAACTGACAGTGAAAGAGATTAAGGGACTTACCCAAGGTGATACAGCTAGTGAGTGGACAAGAGCAGATTAGAACTGATTACAAAGCCAGTGCTCTTTCCACTGTGCCAGGATGATGAAGTAGAATTTCCAAAGACATTCTATAACCTTTCTCTTAATCCAGTGGTAACATTGATATCATCAGTTCTTACTCTTGCCTAACCTAAATCGTCCATGCCATAACCAAAGGGTATTCCTTATTGTTTTTTTAAGAGAGCCTAAAAACTAATGTATCCACTTTCAGATGCAGGGAAGCTGTGGCCTTGAGGCTACGTGTGGGCTTCTATGTCCTCAAGGTTTGACTGAATCCAAACTTCACAGAACAAATCCCCTTAATAAAAGGATTTGTTCTTTGAAATTTGAACTCAGTCAAAAGGCCACATCCAAGGACCTAGAAGGCTGCATGTGGCCTGGAGGCCACAGGTTCTCCACCCCTACTAGATTCTCATCTGTAAAACAGAGTATTTAAACAAAATATTCTCTAAGGCCCTTTCTGGGTCCAAATTCTTCAAGTTACTCTTTTCAACAACCTCAATAAAATTTAAAATGTCATTAAATTGATCCAGGCTGTATTAAATCCAAATCATTTATTAACTGGATACTATATTGAAAGCATCATAAGAAGTGCTTAAAATAGGCATAGAACATTTATCTGACAACATTTATTAAGAGGCTTCTATGTTCAATATAATAAACAGGGTTGGAAGAGCTGGAAAGATAGATAAAATATAATTCCTGGCCTCATGAAGTTTATAACCTAGCAAAGCTGGTGAGACATGTACACAGATCAAATACAAACCAGTGCTAAGTAAATAGGGGGAGCAGAAAGTGCTATGACATTAAATGAGGTAAGAGAAATATGCTTCTATCCTAACAATTTCTGATTGCACCTTAAATTTGCTTTGTTAACCAGTTACTATCTATTTGGACACAATGCCATTAAATAGTAAGTGTATTTTGCACTTATTTCCTCTAACCCATTACATGTGCCTGACTGGTATCATTAAATATATATATATATATATATATATATATATATATATATATATATATATACACATATATATACACATGTATATATATATACACATATATATAGATATATACACATATATACATAGATATATACATATATACATGTATATACATATATACATGTATATACATATATACATATACATATATATACATGTATATATATGCATGTATATATATATTCACGTATATATATATATATATATATATATATATATATATATATATATGTAAACCAAAGATAAGCTAGAAGATCTGGGTTCAAGGCCCTGTTTTCAGATTTTACCAGCTATTTGATTGGAAATGTTAACCCTTTGCTTTAAAGAAATTGCCTGCGATGAGATTGCAGAGAGACTTGAAGAAGGGATACTGGTTAGAAGGCTATTGAAATAACCTATGAGAAAGGTAATGAGAACCTAAACTTGTGTTGGGTTTTGTTAGCAGAGAATAGGTGATATATAAGGGATATTAGGAAGGTAGAAGCAACAAAAGTTGGCAGTAGGTTCATATACATCATGCGGGTGAGGGTGGGGAGTCAAAGTTCTTACTGAGATTATCAGCCTGGGTGACAAGAAGGGTGATGGGTATCCACTACAGTGAGAGGGAAGTTGAGAAGAAGAGAGCTGTGGGAGACAATGACCTAGATTATAAATGAGTTTGGATTTTTTACAGAGGGAGTTACTTATTTAGGACTAAAGTTTAGGAAGG